AGAGAGATCTCGTAGCTGTGGTGTTAGGAGAGTCCTTGGTTGCTGTTGTTGTGATCTGTTCGTTCTTGTTTCTGTCCTTTTGAAAGGTGAGTGCATGACTAGGCTGATCTAAGCAGTTTTGATGCATATTTTGAGTGTTTCCTCTGATTGATGTTTGATTTCTGTGTTTGTATGCTTGTCTATGTGGTATGGTGTCTTGGTACGAGTCTGGGGAGGTGATAGATCGGGCCTGGAGTTCTGGAGTTGGTGGATTCGTCGATGAGAAGCGGCTGGAGCGATGTTAGGGTTTCGGTGTCGTTCGACACCAAGGGATGGTGTCGATCGACACCAACTTTCTTTCTCGCGAGGATGGTCGCGAGTGTCAAGCGACACCAGTGGATGGTGTCGATCGACACTGCTCGTCAGAACAGGTCATGTTGTGTTGTTTTGTGTTACATTGGTGGTTGTTTGAGTTAATACTTGAATGTGTTCATTTCTGCTTGTGTGTATAGCCAGTGGTGGGATGATTGTCTCACTAAGTATTTATGAAATACTTATGCATCTCTTTCTTTGATGCAAGTAAAAGTAAAGTGTGATCCGTGGAATCATGGCGAGGAGAGGAGGATGATCTAGGCACTCATTGGTGTTTTAGATTATTGCTGGATTTGTTAGGGTGTTAGAATGGAATTTAGAAACATGTTAGGATGATCATGTTTTGGAATAATGTTTGGTTGAACTTGTTGGTTTTTATTGGATTTTTGGTTAAGTCTTCCGCTGGTTAATATTGCTTGGTTAAATTGATTTAAATTATTATGGCCGGTTTAGCTGGTTCGAATTAATTGGGTTAATCCGGTTTGCATGTTTAAAAGAAAAAAAATGGGATGGGTTATTTCAATCTCCATCATTTTGACTGCCTACTTCTTCTTCATCACCATCATTTCGACTGCCTTCTTCGTCTTCTTCATAAGCCTTTTGATTCACATCGTTATCACAAGCCTCTTGATTGTCATCTTCTTCATCACCATCATCACATTCTCTCTGAGGAACATCCTCCTTATCACTCTTAAAGTATAATACGTTTTGAAACTTCTAGTATAAGTTCATGAAGATCTTTAGTATAAAATCATGAAGAAGTTTCTAGACATTCCTAAAAGAAGTAATAAACTAAAGAAAATAATACCTCAACGACATGATCCATCTTCTGAGTTATTTCCTCTGTCTCCTCAACAATGCGGTTTATTACCTATGTTTAAAACGATCTTTTGTATAAAATGATGAAAAAGTTCCTAAACATTCATGAAACAAGTAATTAACTACAGAAAATCTTACCTCCACAATTGGATCGATCTTTTGAGTGATCTCTTATGTCTCCTCCACTAAAGCAAGCATAAACAAAGCAAAAATTAAAGAAATGAAAGTTAAAGATGCAAGAGCTATAGAAAAAGAAACTAAGCAAGACAAAGCAATCAGTTAACAATAGGTTCTAAGGATGGAGTACTTAATTTCAGTGGAGAAACTCAGGTCACTAGTGTAATGCCCCACATTAGGATTAGGAAGGGACGTACGTGTTCGGTCAGAAACTCAGTTCGGGTAAGCTATTGGTAACGAATATTGATCAGGTCATGCGTTCGGACGTGTCAAGTGACTATAGTTTAGTTAGATCAGTTAGTTGAATTTGACCGTGAGAGTTAGGATTTTACCATAGGCAAGTAGTGATTGGAAGGTTGCATTTAGCATCTGGGATGTTCATGGTGCGAACAGGTACGTACCACGAACGAGAAAAAAATGATCGGCCAAGGAATGGTCCGAGAGGTGCTTGAGCAGCTACCATTTTTCGTGGACAGGAATGTGCCACTCAGCTGCTAGAGGAATCGCCCTTAGTTGTGGCCGAGGATAAGCCACCATAATGCCTATCCTTATCCCATGAGTCATCTTCTTATCCTATCCAAAAATCCGCCTTATCCTCATCCGTTTTTAACTTGTTCCCCAAGTCTTCCCACCCTATAAATAGTCACCCCATTTCGTTCATTTTTCTCATCACCACTCATTCGCAAACTACTAAATTCCTTAGAGAAATCGCTAGAAGTCTAGAAGGAGCTTTCGGGAAGTTCTCGAGATCGAGCAGCCTTAGCCTTAGATCTGTGAGTTTCTGGTCGTGTGAAGTAGCACACAATTTGGAATTTATTTATTTAAGTTATTTATTTAAATTTTTCATGAGGTTATGCTTTTATACTTTGTAAAAATTATGCATACTTTCTAGTTTAGCTTATTATACGTTATAAACATATGATTAGCACACTGATCTGTCTAGATCTTGCATTTCTGTTCGATTATATAATAGTTGAGGTTATGTTGGTCGATTCTATAACCGTTATGCTGCCCGTATAACCGTTATGTTTCCAACATGACCATTAGGCTGTTCGTATAGTTGTTATAATACCGTTTTAGCTGTTAGGCTACCGGCATTATCTTGGTTTACATAGTTTCTTCTTATGCATGGGTTGATTGTTTGTTGAATGCTTGTTTAACATTCTTTGTGGTCTTGCTTTAGTTGATTGTTATATGGTAGTAGTTGCTAGTAGGAACTTTTTGAGTACTTCATACTCGTAGTGTTATTAAGTTAGTATGAAGCGATTCTTCTGGTTATCCCATCGGCTCGAAGTGGATCGCAACCATCAAGCAATGTCTGACGGGAGATCAGAATCGCAGGAAGGCCTTAACGGGAGATCAGAATCGCAGGAAGGCCTAACGGGAGATCAGAATCGCAGGAAGGCCTTAGAGAGTGAAGATGAAGATTAGCATGCTAGATTTGATTGTTTTGTTCTATGCGGCTGTTATGTCGCATTTTTTATTGTCATTGTTATCTTATATGTGTTTGGAGGTCGGGTAGGGGATTCCTAATGTTTAGAGACCCCGGACTCACTGAGTAATCTTAAATTACTCATGATGGTACTTATTTTGTTTTACAGGTAACCAGTAGAAGGGTAACTTAGAGGGAGCTAGGACGTTAAGCAAAGCCAGTGTAGGTTTCATGTCTTTTTGTAAAATAATTCTGTTTGAATAAGGCTTCGAAAGTTTCTTTTGGAGACTAGCTCCCGGCCGAAAATCTTAGGATGTTTTATGTGTAATATTATATTTCTTCGAATATTTTATGTAAAATAAAGCTTGTTTTATATTCGGAGCTGTTCTTAAATGATTATAGTCTTGTCCGGACCGTCCTAACACTTATTCACGGTTAAGGTTGGCAAGCCCGAACCCGTTATGTAGTGGGATGTGCATGCGGAACGGACGATCGGGGTATCGAATTCGTTTTGATAACCTCTGTTGACTGTCCGCGAGTATCATCACGTAGCATTCTCAGCCGTCTTATTTATAGACTGGTTCGGGGGTGTTACAACTAGGCTACTCAATAACACACAATTAAGTTATTCCCTAGATAATGAACTCATAAGCTAGCCTATCCAATGTCTTGGGAGAGATTATTAATCTTAAGTCACTTCCCAATCTCAAATGTTGTTCATGAAACATGAAATAAGCAGGCATTAAACAAAAGTTCATTATTGTCAAAATACATTCTAGTCAACCAATATCTTGGGCATAGACACATAAGTCCCTGGCATTATAGGATCAGACATTTTATCGACCACCTTTCGGGCGTGAAAGTCTCGGATCTAATCTCCAAATGATCAGTAAGGGATTAGCATTATATACACTAATCATGAATGGAATTTAAGGCAGATCTACTCTACATCAACCTAGATCATATAGGTAGAATTGTTTAGATTTCCTTCTGGATTAGTGTATATAACACTAATCCCGCTCTGATCAAGTGGTGATTAGCTTTCAGGCTTCCACGCCCGAGAGGTTTTCGATGGAATGCTGGATAATCTAATACCACCAAATTTCATGTCTAGCCCAAGAGATTGGTTGTCTAGAATGTTATTTTACATTAATGAGTTGACTCTTAATGCCTATTCATTTCATGTTTCATCAACCAGAAGTTGAGATTAGGAAGTGATTTGAGTTTGATAGCCTTTGTCAAGAGATTGAACTGGTTAGCTTATGAGCTTGTTGTCTAGGAAGCATCACTGTCTGTGTTTGATTGATTTAGCAACCTAGTGAACTTAAAGATCTCCATTGAAGTCACCATCTCATCCCCAGAACCTCCATTTAATTGATTGATTTACCTTGTTTCATTTCTGTTCTTGCATTTCTAGTTCACTTAATGTTATTGTTTCTGTAGTTTTATTTATGTTTTAGTTTAATGTTGTGTCTTACTAGATTTCAGTTCAGTAGTTGATAGTTTAAAACATTTCTTGCTTGGCTTTACTTGTTAAACATTGATTGCATATAAACTGGGTGCACGCGTCCTTATGGATCAATAAAGCCTTTTATACTATAATTATACTGGGTTTGATACCATTAGCACCAAAAAACTTGTTATCAGTTGGGATGAGACATTCGCAGCAATCACAATGCTTACGGGGGATGCAAATAGGTCTATCTTGCTTTGCCTTTGCTTCCAATTGGCGCTCTACTCCATCTGGCGGGAACGTAATGCTCGCATACATGGTACAACCTATAATTTGGTTCCTCGACTTCTCTGGAACATTGACAAGCTAATCCGTAACCGCATCACGTCTTTGGACTATTCGAAGAAACTACGTCTGCAACTTTGTCTCCCTCTCATTAAAACTGTTAATTTTCATGCTCTTTTTGCTTTGATTCATTGCTTATTGTACTTGGTCTCTTGAAAAACTTATGTATATATTTTTGTTTAATAAATTACACATTTAAACAAAAAAAAAATATTTTGTCGAAACTAAAAAATTCAATATTTCAAAAGTGTCATAAGTAAATTTAAAAACTAATTAATTATATGTCCATTAACAATTGAGGCCCATGGTTCATCAGCTAAACCATATTAACCATTATTTAAATGGGCCCAAATTCATAAACTAACGAGGTAAATAAAAATCTTTATAGAAACAGAGGCTCACGTATTCACTCAGATCCACATATTAAAAAAAATAAAAATAATAAATCATTTATGTTCAATCAATCAAGCAGACGAGAAGAAAAGATCATCCATCGCCATGGGACAAGTCTTGAACAAGCTCCGAGGTCTGAAAAACTTGCTTTCATTTTGTATAATTTGTTAATTCATAAATCACAGTCAAGTAATTAAACTGTGTATATATATATATATATATATATAATGATATCGCTTCAATCGCAATTGTAATTACAGGTAAAGAGTGGAGACATAAGCAGGTCCAAGCGATATGTGATCGTGTTTTTGATCGATTCAAGATGCAAACAGGAAGAGCCAATCTTACATTTGAAGAGCTATACATCGCTGTGCTTCTCGTTTACAAGTAAAAACAAAAAAAAAACAAATCTTTGGTTCCATAAAAAAAATATTTTGTTAATTTACAGATTTAGACAATTTTATCTTCTTGTTGTTGTGATGTTTTCAGTGACATAAACAAGAGACTGCCCGGTCCTCATTTCGATCCACCTTCTAAGGATCTTGTCCAGAGTATTATGACGGTACTTACTCTTTCAATTTCTCGAAACGTTCTTAAAACGCAAACGCTTAGTTAGTGCTTTTGCGTTTGTGTTTAAACTTTAAAGGTGAAAACGAATTCACAATTTTTAACCAACCATGATCAAAATCTAATCTTAACCATATTTTAAACTTTAACCGGACCGTTTTAAAACCGTAACCGGACCGTTTTTAACCATAACCAATTAAAACAGTTTAAAACGGTAACCGTTAACCGTAAAAATAAACTAGTTAAGAAAAATACTAACCGTACCTATTAATTACCGTAACTATATCAAACCGTTGGTTAACCATATGGTTAACCGTGCGGTTAAACGTACAATTAAATTTTTAAAAGTATAATTATAAGAAAAAATTAGATTTAGTTACTAATATCGGTAATCATCGAATAATCATTATTGAATTTAACAGTATCTATATTTAACTATAATCGTATTTAACCGTAACAATATACGATTACAGTTACAGTTAATTAATGGATATGGTTATACAGTGGTTAAGGTTACAGTGGTTAAGACTACAGTTTTGATTGTATATACAGTGGTTAAAGTTACTCTTATAGAAAATTTATAACCATAACCGGCGGTATAAACCGTAACTGTAATTATCGTAACCATGATCATCTCTAACAAACTAATGTATTTTTCTATGCGTTTGCGTTAAGATTTAACGTTTGCGCTTGGTAAGCATCTACCAGAAAATTTAAACTGATATTAAGTATATTAACAAATAAATGTCGTGGATATTTCTAGAAAATGTGGTAAATTTGAGTGCTCATATTGTTTGTGTGATTTTCTTATAATAGGACTGCGATATGAACTTGGATGGAGAAATTGATAGGGAGGAGTTTGTGAAGTTTTTTGAGCAGCTTACAGCTGAGACATTGAATGTGGTTAGTCAGGGTTTGATCATATCTATGATTGTTGCTCCTACTGTGGCTATCGCTACGAAGAGAGCCACGGAAGGTGTCCCGGGAGTTGGCAAAGTTGTGCAGAAGCTGCCTACTTCAGTCTATGCTTCTCTTGTGACTCTTGCAGTTATGTGGGTGAATTCTGATTCAAGTTAAGCTTCTCAGATTGCAAAGCTTGTCACCAAATAAATGTGTTTATACTTGACTATGAGAAGTTTATAACAACTTCTTTTACATCAAATGTATTGTTGAACCGTCGGATAATACTAGCTTTATTAATTCATAGTTCAAATTTTGATGTATTATTCATTTCACAGTCCGATAGTTGTTGTGAAACAAACTAGTTGAAGTAGATAAGTCGGTCTTGTTTGTAGTAGAAACTAGAAACTATACCTGAAATTTATATGTAGCTATGCAAGATACGAAGTCAAGATGATATCATGAGTCTATATCCTATTGATTAGCGCGTAGCTAAATGCATTTACGACATCCGTTGCAACGTGATGGTTTAAGTGATGGTCACTGAAAAGATCGGAATAGAACGGCTTGCCCTTATTATTAGATACACGATACAATATATATACATCACGAGAACCCTAGTACATTAGGCAAATAAGGAAAGCTAGAGACATGTGTAATATTTACAAATCCACCCCATAATACTCCCCCTCAAGTTGGCGCATGAAGATCCCAAATGCCCAACTTGCAACAAAGGTACTCGAACGCTGGGAAGCCTAAAGCTTTGGTGAATATATCAGCAAGCTGGTTAGTGGTAGAAACATATGCTGTTTGAAGAAAACCATTCTGAATTTCGTCGCGGACATAATGACAATCACGCTCGATGTGCTTGGTACGCTCGTGGAACATAGGATTAACCGCGATGTGTAAAGCAGCCTTATTGTCGCAATGTAGTTTAATGGGCTCTGTCGCCGAGACACCAAAATCAGAGAGGAGAGCACTAAGCCACTTGAGCTCGGAAACAGTGAAAGACATAGCTCTATATTCAGCCTCTGCAGAAGATTTAGAAACAACACCTTGTTTCTTAGTCTTCCAAGCAATAACAGAACCCCCAAGTAAGACAGCAAACCCTGAGAGAGAACGACGAGACATCGGGCAAGTAGAAAAATCTGAATCACAATACCCGGATAGTGTCAAGTCGCCGTTAGCTGTGTATAAAATCCCTTGGCCCGGGTTATTCTTGAGGTAACGAACCACACGCAAGGCAGCCCACCAATGTTTCATCCGAGGCTGATGCAAAAACTGAGCAAGAACATGTACAACGTACATGAGTTCCGGCCTAGTAATAGTTAAATAGACCAAACGTCCCACCAAACGACGGTATTGTTCGGGTGTATCAAAATACTCCCCTTGATCAACTTCCAACTTATGATTTTCAAGCATAGGTGTGCAAACAGGACGGCCACCCAACAAACCACACTCATTAATTATATCCAAAGCATATTTTCGCTGGGAGATGTAAATTCCTTGAGATGATCTAGCCACTTCAGTCCCCAAGAAATACTTAAGAACACCCAAATCTTTCATATGAAAACATTGACTCAAGTAAGTGGAAGACGTGAAGACGTGATACTGCTCCCAAACCATTTGGTTAGAGAAGACGTGAAGTAAGTGGAGGTTGAATCCAAGACGTGAACTTGAAGCCGGGCAAACAGATGTTGAATCAGTAGTAGATGTGTTAATGCTCCCTTGCTTTTATACATCTAACAATATGAATCTGTTGTGCACGATGCTTAATCATAGCCATAAGTTTTCTTTCAACAGGTTGATGACAATACTGCCAAGATTAAGCAAGTGAGACAGTCAGGACTCAGGAGAAGCTAAAATGAAACAGTTGCTTAATATGAAGAGATAGTGAAGCAGGTTTCTTTCGTTTCTAATATTGTCACCTCAATACATCCGTGAATTCGCTCAAGTTAAGGCATATCTATTATAGATTGAAGAACATGAAAGTATAGACGATTAAAATATGTCGATTTCCTGATCCAAACTTTGGAGTTGTAACAGTTAGGCAAATAAAGAGGTCTCCAAAGCTAAATCCACACTAGGCTTCTTAGAGATTCTTTGGTAAGACATGTAAATACTGAGCCTTGTTTTAGATTTTTGCAGTTTCATGAATACATGTTGTCGTTTGCTGCATTTTTACTAAGCTTCTAAAGGTCAAGACAAGTCTGATTGAAGCTAAATAAGGTAGAGAGATCCTCTCCAAATGGTTGAAGACTCGGCTAGATAGTATTCGCTCCAAACAAACATGACAAGGCATGCATTACTAATGTGATTGTATATATTTTTTACATGTCTAATGTGATTGTATTAAACTTGGAAAATATCAGAAATTTTATGTTGATGTGGGAGAGATGGAAAATAAGGCTTAGCTTCTTTTTGTTATTCTAGAGAGACCATTGGCATATAAAGTGTTTATGGTTTACTAGTTTCAATCACCTTATTGTAGCATTTATACAGATTTAAAAGGCAAAATTCAAATATACCAGTCGTTCTTCTTCACCAAAACTGTGCTTGCATAATTCTTTCCTATCTCCTCCTAATAAACTCATAAAACAAAACTTTTTTTCTTCTTTATTCTTATTCAATTTATTTTTCACTTTATCCTTGGCTTGGATTCAGTTTTTCTAAAAGAAAACAAGCTTGCAAAAAAAAAAAAAGGATTCAGTTTTTGGATTGAAGATACACCTCTTTTAAAGTCATTTGTTTTTTTTCCATATAATTACAGGTTCTCTTAATGAGAATAAATTAGTCAATATTCAAATTTCAATATATACTTCAAGTAATTATAATTTAGAATTTTTTCCTATAAATCATTTTCCAATATATAAGTTATTTTTTTTTTCCATACTCACAGGTTCTCTTAATGAGAATAAAAAGTTAGTCAATATTCAAATTTCAAAGAAGATACATTACCATAACTACGTTTAGCATTTAAAGTTTACCACAAAATATCACAAGTCAGTCAACAATAAGCTTATTCAAATAGCTAGTTACATCTGTCAAAGGCATCTCAAAATGGCTCCTCTCATTTTTACAACTCTCTTTTCTCTTTTGTTACTCTCAAACACTAACGCCCATACGAAACATGGCTTCACCGTCGATCTGATCCACCGTGATTCCCCGAAATCACCGTTCTACAACCCCGCAGAAACCTCTTCACAACGTATGATAAATGCTATCCGCCGCTCCGCTCGCAGCACACTCCAGTTGGCCAAGTATGAAGCTTCACCAAACTCAGCACAATCTGTAATCACATCAAACCACGGTGAGTATCTCATGAACATATCGATTGGAACCCCTCCGTTCCCGACACTCGCGATTGCAGATACGGGCAGCGACTTGATCTGGACGCAGTGCAAGCCTTGCATAAAATGTTACCGACAGACGGCTCCAATCTTTAATCCAAAAGAATCTACAACATACAAAAATGTTTCTTGCTCCTCAAGCAAATGTCGTGCCCTAGAAGACTCTTCTTGTTCCAAAGCAGAAGACACTTGCTCCTTTATTATTGCATACGGTGACTTTTCATACACGAAAGGTGTCGTTGCCGTTGACACTGTGACGCTTGGATCTACTGATCGCCGCTCTATGTCGCTTAGAAACGTTACCATTGGGTGCGGACACAAAAACAGTGGAAAATTTGACCCGGCTGGGTCAGGGATCATTGGACTCGGAAGAGGATCTACTTCGTTGGTCTCACAACTTGGGAAATCCATCAATGGTAAATTCTCCTATTGTTTAGTACCTTTAACGTCTCAAACAGGTCTAACGAGCAAGATCAATTTTGGAAGAAACGGCGTCGTCTCAGGAAAGGGAGTGGTGTCAACCCCTTTAGTCCAGAAAGCAGATTCACCCTCGTTTTATTACCTAACCATAGAAGCCGTTAGCGTGGGAAGGAAGAAACTTCATTTCTCGGGCACAAACAATGGAACTGGAGAAGGAAACATCATTATCGACTCTGGTACCACTCTAACTCTATTCCCACCCGAGTTCCAACAAAAGCTGGAACCTGTAGTGGCTTCTACAATCAAAGCACATCCAATGCAAGATCCTAGTGGACTTTTGAATCTATGTTATAAAAACATCTCCAGCTTTAAACTTCCCGAGATAACTATTCATTTTAAAGGAGGTGATGTGAAACTCGAGAACTTGAATACGTTTGTGGAGGTTGCTGAAGGTCTATCTTGCTTTGCTTTTTCTGGCAATGACCGGATGACCATATATGGCAACTTGGCCCAGATGAACTTCCTTGTTGGATACGACACAGTTTCTAAAACTATGTCGTTTAAGAAGACTAATTGTGCCAAAATGTAGCTCCATATAACCTTATCTTAATTATATTTCTCTGGTTTAAAAAAAAAAAAAATATATATATATATATATATATATATATATATATATCCAACATATTTAGGCTTTTTTTCCCTAATATTTCTCTTTTTATTTCCTGACAATTGTTTATTTTTCTTCCTGCTTTACTGGTTCGGTAATATGGCACATATATACAGGGTCGGTCCAAAAGAATACAATAAGTGTACGTAAAAAGTGCTTTTACACAGTTTCTGAAGCATCATTAAGTAAAACTTGTGTGTCCTCTTTTAATATATTCTGTGTGTTTTGTTTACCTTCCACTTGAGGTGTCATCTCGAATACTCTTGCCCTGGCCTTCGTGGCCTGAAACTCAAACCAAAAGCAGATTCAAAACTGTAGCTATAAGCAGAAGTGAAGAAGATAATGAGCTGTGTTATATACTTATATACCTCTTCTTCCCAGTTGCTGAAGAAAGTTACAAAAGCAAGAACACTAAGTTGGAGAGTGGAGGATATGAGTATACTGATCCAAAGTCCTTTCCCTCTTAATTTCAAGACAAAACATAAGATCCAACCCAACGGGATTCCTACAAGATAATATGATCCTATGCTTGCATAACCTCCTATACGTTGCCACCCTGTTCCTCTCGCAACACCTAAAGAGAAAATGTAGAAATAAACCTACGTTTCTTGGGTTTCAAGTACCAAAGTATAATCATTTTACCCGAGAGCACGGCAAGAAAGCTGTTAACGACAATGGATAGACAGAGAATGGGTGTGATTTGGGTTGTGTAGTGAGCCACTTCTCTCTCGTTGCTGAATATATAACTCCAACTTCTTCGGTAGCTGTAAAGAGAAATGCTTGATATGGTTGCAGCAACACCAGCTAGGAAAATAGCAGAATTAACGGCCGCTCGAACTGCCTTTGGATTTCCAGCTCCTAGCTCGTTTGAGACATATGTGCTATAGTGTCAAACAAGACAAAAAGGGTTTAGAGGTATTACTTTACATCAAACAGATTCTTGTGAACAATCAAAGTAGATAAAACCTCGCGGCTGCTCCTATAGCATTCACCAGAAGGAAATGCACAGTCGATGTTGCGAGGCTGGTCAGTAAATAAAGTTAGGATAATCACAAGCTTATTTGACTGTTTGAATCTGTATAAATTATATGTATATACCAAATTGATATCACCGATGTTTCGAGCTTTGAATTTGGTAAGAGTCCAGACATTAGTAGTAGAATCTCAAATGACCACCATTCAAGACTTTACTTACACCGCACAACAGAAAAATATAAAGAGTCATGGATCAATTGAAGATCAGATTAGATCAAGAAACTTTAAACGTTGTTGAAATTTGTTTACATATGTAAATTACCATATCATCATTGCAGAGGGGATGGCGAGGGTGATGAACTGCTTCATGCTCGAGATGAGTTCTTGCAAACGAAGATTACTCATTTCATGATGCAAAGCAGAGTCTCTCATGAAAATCCAAAGCAAAAATACGTTAAGCCAATATGAAAAACCGATGGACAAAGCAGAGCCAACGATTCCAAATCTCAGTTTATAGACAAGAAGCCAACAGAAGGGAATGTGAAAACAGAGAGCTCCAAGAGAGCTAATGAAGAGAGGAAGAACCAATCCTTGGGACTGGAAATAGCGAGTCATAGGTTGAAGAAGAGCATATCCAAATAAAGCCGGTATGAGCCAGATTGAGTATTTGCAAGCCAATTTAGATATGAGAGGATCTTGATGGAAGAGCTTTAAGATATTTTCCATGAAAAACCATAAAAAAGAGATTGGGAAACAGAAGACAAGAAGAACAAGCATTGAGCTGTAAGTGTATGAACCAATTTTTCCATATTGTTCTGCTCCAAAAGCTTGACCACACAGTGTGTCCAAAGCACCTGCCAACCCAACGAGGAGGCTGAAACCAGTGACGTTGGTGAGGGAAGTGGCGATTGCGACACCTGAGAGTGAAAGCTCGTCCAAATGACCAGCCATAACCATGGAGATGACTTGAAGGAGGCACTGAGAAACCGATACTGCCACCATTGGAGCCGCCATGTAGCTCACCTTCTTCATCATCTCCACTGACAAATAACTTGTCCCATTCATGTTATCTTCTTGTTCCTCCTCCAGCACCAACGAGAACTCCTTTCCCATCGTTTGGTCAATCAACAAAACGTTATTCGATCAAAAACATCTTTAAATTACTTCAAAACATCTTTAAAATCTTTTGAAACAAAGAAACAAAATTAAATAAAGACTAACTGAAGTCGTCTCCATTTTAATAACAGAGGATGGTGAGATGTCAAGAAGAGAATCAAAACATTATTTAAAGCCAACTATTTGGGTCAGAGATGTTTCTTATTTCATGAACTAAGAAAATTTAAAGACAAATTTTTCTAATTACTACACATGTTTCTAAAATATTTTATATCCAAATTGCAAAATACTGATATGTGACTATGGTTAGGATCTTATGACAAAGAGTTTGGTGTTTTGGTTTACTAGGGTTATTAATAAAATTAGGTTTTGTTAGTTTTACTTTTAACATTAGGTTTGGTTGTTTCTTTTTCACGTTTAGGTTTTGCTTAAGTTGTAATCTTGGCCTATATAAATATAGGTCTTTATGGTAATGAGAAAGGAAGCCCCAAGAATTAAGCTTAATCTCTAAGAGAGACTAGGGTTAAGAGGGAGCTAAGCTTTTAGAATCTCTCTTATTCCTTAAGCAAAAGTTGGTTCATAACAAATACACTACTGTATGACAAGATTTCTTATGCCCCCTATATGAAGAAAGATCCTACCTAGCCAGCTCATTTTAAAGGTTCTTTATTCTAACAATGAGTTCTACGATGAACATGACCAAAGACCTAGGCGACCATGTCAGCTTTCTGTGAATCATGTGAAGATGTGGTGTTGAATGAGCTATCTCAATATGTCAAGGGATTACAATGATACATGAAGTGAATGGATATAACTGACATAGAAGATGAAGCATTGCTTGTACTAGTTATGACGTCAATACAGAAAGTAGTACAAGAAGCTAATTTGGGCGAGTACGTGAAGTAGTACAAGAGGCAGTACAAGAAACCGAGCTGTGTGACTACTTGAAGAGTTGAAGTACAGAAGTTTGGGACCGAATTGGACAAGCCAATAGGCGGTTGCTGAGCTGGATAAACATCTTGAATAGTACATTCAAGATGAGAACGTGAAAGACAAATTTCCTTATCTATAGAGAACAAAGGAAATTTGCCAATTCCTATTTGGTGAAGGAATAGGAAAATTGTCAATCTTTAGGGTTGAGCAATTGTTATAAATACCAAGAGGGCGCTTCACGAAGACTTGCGCGCCTCAGGGTATTCTCGAGAAGGTGCACACAAGGTGTGTGGCGTCGCCCGATCAACAAGATAGAGAGATCTTTTGATGGTTTAGTAGAAGGTCTACACTAGTCGGAAAATACAATTAGTGGTAGTCTTCTTTCATTGTAATTCTAGGAAAGAGTTGGTGGATTCCATATAGCAATTGTAGGTTGCGAACTTTTCTAGTTAATGAATTCTGGACTAGGTCCCGGGGATGTAGGTTATCCGAACCCCGTTAACAAAGCTTGTGCCTTATTTACTTTATGCTCATACGTACTCGAAGTCGATCATACACATAGTTGAATTAGTCACACATATGCAGTTACAATTGGTATCAGAGCGGGTTCTCGATAGAGATCTTTTCTTGTTTCGGGTGTTCGATCTTGGATGTGTGGCTAGCGGAGAATTAGAAGTTGTTGTGTATGTGTGAGAAAAGTCGAAGCAAAGGTAAATAAAGTGCACATGATCTACGGTTACTAATAAGAGTATGTCTTCTGCTATGAATAGTCACCTAGAACATGGAAAGCATCGATCAAAGTCTGGTTTGCTTCTGATAGTATGTCAAGCGTGGGGAAAAAGAAAGACAAGAAGGAACAGTTACGGTTTTATGTTTTTGTTTGGGCTTCTGTTAACGGTACATGGACCTCAAGATATTACATGGGCCTGTTTTATTGTGAATATATATGTTGGCCCATCAGGTGGTGAAGCTACAGTTCTTGTCTGTGTTCGACATGGAGCACATAGGGGTTTAATCGTGTGGTGTGAAAGAGAAGAAATCAAGGTGCTTTTTGTTTGAGAATTCATCTCTCATACCCTTTTTCACAATTTTATTCCACAATCGGAGGCCCTGCGTTTCTTCTTCTCTTTTGAGCTGTACAAAGCTCCAAAATGCAGGTACATTCTTCAACTATAAGCTTCATATTTGTTTAGATTTTTGAAATTTGATTGAATTTTGGTTGAGAAGATAAATTCTTAGCACATTGGATGTTTGACCATGGGTTATGGGTTGAGTGAGCTATTTAGTTGATTAGAATGAATTTTAGACCCAGATTCGTCTTGAATTGCAGAGTTTAGAACCCGGAATCGAAATTCGATTTTGAGTAGAACTAGTAAAACTAGACACTGTGGTAAATATAGTATAACTAGTAAAACTGGTAGTACTGGTATAACTCGTATAAATGGTAAAACTGGTAAAACCAAGTAGTACTGGAACTGGTAAAACTAGTAAAGCTGGTAAATCTGATTTTGTTTATTGTATTTTCTTGGCAGGAAGTTAATTCTTATAAGGGAAGATATATGTTTCCCGGTGAAAATTTGTCAGGTCGAAACTTAGAGTTCTGGTTTTCCAAATTCGACAAGATTGGAATTAAGAGATTGTTTCATCACACGAATTTAAAAAAAAAATCAAAGCGGCTTAATTTGCGAGTTTGAAGTGTCTTTAAGTCTGGTACTGGTGGAATATTTGCCAGATATTGAGTTCATAGGTGGAGATTACAATCCTATTCGCCAAAATTACTCAGTTTATCAGAGGAAGGAGAGGCATGCCACATGTATAAGTTTTCGCCGGAGACGTTGCTTTGTCTGACCGGATATGGTAAACAAATCAGTTTCAGTTGTCGCGTGGCAAAGCGGTTTGATGGGCTTGCTCTGAAACTTAATTAAAGCTCGAAGCCATATACAGTTTTGGTTCAACATTTCAAAGAGTTCTCGATTCAGGATCATCTCAAGTTATTCTTGTTATTGGCTGTGGAATCATCAGAAAAGAAAATCATCAAGCAAAGGTGGTTTGATCAACTTCTGGGTTTCAAGAAAACATCAAGAGGATAGCTAAATTCATAGGGAAGACGGGAAAAAGTTTTGAGGTGGCTGTCCATGAATTATAAGAAAGAAGATTTTGAGAACCTAGCTAAATGATGGTCTTCCTGAGGAGTTAATTTAGATTCTTTAGCAGTTGTATTTCACGAAGAAGAGTGGAGATTAAAGAGCTCAAGCTTGCAGCAAATTTATAGAGATAGTTCAGAGAGTTATGTCTCTGTTACCAGCCTCTCTACTTGAGATGATAAGAAATCAGAGGAATGGCTCAACATTTCACAACGTTCAGTTATATGAAGTAATGTTGAGGAGGAGACACAGAGTATTGTCAAGCCACAAAGAAGAAAGTGTTTCGGATTAGGCTTCTTGATTGGTTGAATTCTGATTTGGAAATGTGTTGATGTATGTGTCGTGAATTGGAATCTTTGTCTTATTGAGACACACAATCAACAAGAGGGAGAAGAATGTTGCGTCTCATAGAAAGAGCTTCGTGGGAAGAAAACAAAGAGTGTGCTTTTGTTCAAAGCTAAGAGAAAAGGGATTTTTGTTCATGATGCAGCTACAGATGGTTCTTGTCATGAGAAAGAAAGATGAATCAAAGAATGCTGAAGGAGAAGATTGATGCATTCTTAATTAGATCAAGTAAAAGTTTGGAGAAACACAGTGAACAACAACGTATTTCAATCTTAGAATGAAGGAAGCTTGTGGAAGAAAAAATTATATAGATTGACATCATTGTTAGTTCCGGTTGAGAAAGTTTTGTTTGTAGAAGCTCATGACTCTATGCATATGATCAAGAGTAATCTCACCCTCATGAAATTTGGAATTTAGTCTGCATTTGCTGTGATTTCATGTTAAGAGTTCAGACTTATAAGATATTGTTCTGACTCCGGGTTGCTACTTTATTCTTCAGTTACTTTGGCTACAGACCTCCGATTTGAGCTATCAAAGTTGTTCTGAAAACTTGAAAGCTAGATCTTCCAATGGTATAAAGATAGCTGTCTGATTCCTTGTGGTTTTATGGGAAATTGTTCTCAAAGTTGGCTAGGCTGCATCATTCCGGATCTGCTCTATAAAAAAGGCGGTAACTTTCAAACCGTATATCCGAATCGTGATCTGCTTTTGCTGTGTCTTCGTATGACTGTTGTTGATATTCCCACCAAATTTAATAATTTTCTGGGTTGATTTGCTACTCCATTTGTGCTCTATATCAAAACTGATGAGAAAGACAGAATTTTAGTTGCTTCAAGAGAAGAAGTTGTGAAGTAACATCTTGAAGGCTAGCTTGCGCATCTTAATTTTAAGGAAAAGGGTATCTTGTTAGTCATGAAGAATAGAGAGCTGCAACTATGGGGGAGAAGACAGGAAAAAGGAGATATGAACTATATCATCAATGTATATGATTTACAGATTAGAGAAGTGATGAGAAAACAGTTTCAAGATGTCTGATTGAAGGTAACTTTTAGTGGATGAAACGTATTCTGATTGAGCTGAAATTCTGTTTTGAGTTGCAACGGTGGGATTGAGATTTGGACGGTTGGCTTGTAGTTTATTTGAGCTTCTTCAATCTGATCTAGGCACAGATTATCTCAAGTTTCAGATCTGACCACCTATGATGGAGACATTAAACCGACGATCAGCTGAACTCGGAATGAGATGCAATTTGGTAGAGATACACCAGACATGTGAAACTAGATTCCAGTTTAAGGGTAATGGATTTAGAGTCCAGGAACATAGTTGAACGATGACTTTTCAGAACAGTTGTTTCAGAGTTTTATGAACCAATGAATTTCAGATAAGATTTTGCAGAAATTTTGGTAGAAGTGCAAAGGATTCAGAGGCAAGGAACATAGTTAAATTAAGGATTTATCAACCTTGAGATTGATTATCATTGTGTTAAAAAAAAGGGAGAGTCTCAAGAACGTCAGTAGATCAGTTGGTGAGAGTTAGCTACAAGGAAAGCCAACAGAATGGTTTAAGTCTAACAAA